GTTTTCTTGGATTCAAAGCCAGGAAAAGAAAGAAGATCATTCAAGATCCATTGAAGATATTCAGCGATTGCATATTTATTCTCTCTTTTTCATCCACTGTTTTGAAATTCGAGTAATATATTCTCATTCAAATATATAACTAGAATTAAAGATGAGACCTCGTTAACTCTTTGATTAATAATTATTCGATTTTGTTTAAATTCTTGTAATTGTTGATGTTTATTATTTGCCTTTTTTTTCTTTTTATGTTTGGTCATCATAAAAATTTATTTGTGATTTGTATTATTTTCGAGACATTGGTATAAGTTAGCACATGATAATAAACAACTCTAGATCCTATAGGAGACATAAATACTTCGATACTTCATGCAATATTTATTGTTATTTTGGTTTTTTATTATGTTTTTATCTATTTGCATTCCTCATAGAGATATAATTGGGTCATAGATGAAAATTGATTTAATTTATTTTGAGAAAAAAATTAACATATAATAAATATCAATTATCAACATAAAATAGTAATTGATTAATAACGAGTAATAAAGGTTTTAAATAGTTTAACAATAGTGGATTTGGAATCTTAGTACCTTTTATAATTTGATTAAACTCCAAGATTTATGTATTTTTAATTAGTTGATAATTAGATATAAGTAAATGAAGACTATATAACTTCTAAATTAGAGCCAATTCAAGTAAATAAGTAGATACCAATCATCATGGTTCAAGACTCCTTTCACCATTATATTACTTATTAATGATCATTTCATTTGCGTGGTAAAATCGACAACAACAAATATCCGTTTTCTTTCAGGAATGCATTTTTTTTTTAAATGTAGGTCTTTGATTAGTTACTATGGGTGTTATTCTGATATCAGTGTTCTTTGATTTATCATGGGACTTAAGAGTTACTATGGGATGTCGTTGTCATTTTCTCAAAGACCCAAATGAAACTAAAAATATCATCAACAGTATAATGTTGTGTACATGCATTTTCCTATTCCTCCTTGGATGCTCGAATAGAGATATAAATCCATGGAAGTTGTGTTGGAGAGTTTGCATAGAAATATGGGTTTTTTGGATGT